AAGAGTTGGCGGTGGGTGGTGATGACTAGCTGCCTTCCCTCTAGTCTTACACTGCTAAATTAGGGACGGCTAGCGCAGATAGCCCTCGTTTAGCTTTGCGCGAAATTCCAAAACAAACAAACAATTACAGACAGCTAACACAAATAACCTCCAAGTAGCTTTACGCGAAATTCAACAAAGAAACGCAAACAAGACCTATAATCTGGGCCTTATCGTTGAAACGAAACTTTATACAGTCGAGTGCAAAATGATTTAACTAAGCCAACCTCATCCTGTTCCACAGAAACATTTATTTCCTAATCATAATTTAACTGAAGTGTAAAATGATAAAGTAAGGTTTTCGCAAGTTTTAAAAATCTTCACTTCATTTATTTATGTTTTATATGAGAGGCATTACATGTAGCTGAAGAAGTGAAATCATTCAGTGGTTGAAATCACTATAAAGGTAAGAACAAAATATTCGTCATAAGATAGCTTATCACAAAACTTTATAATGAGATTTAAATGGAAGTATAAACAACCACGAATACATAAGTGGGTGAAAGGTGCAAAACAAGTATAATTAGTTACATACAGTGCTATACGCGTATGGCCGTCCCAAACGTTAAACTCAAAGAATAGTCTAGAGAGAAGGCAACTGATCAACAGTTCCTATCTTCAACTTTTGGACTACTCTTGTCTGACGAATAGTGGGATTCGACTATCACTCTCACAGCGTACCCATGGTTTCAAAATGCGGTAATTTTTTTTTTTTTTTTTTTTTTTTGGAAGGGGCAATAAGATGCAAACCTTAAGTCTTCTGTTTCACAGACTGGCCATGCATGATTATTAGGCAGCTCGCTCTTTTTTGATGATATACAATGATAAACTAAAAAACACTTTCATCACAATGTTAATACCACCTCATTACTATCGATGTAAGAGTACCTGAACTCAAAGAAAATGGTAGATTATATGAATTTTTTTCAAAAATCAAGAATATTCACTTTGCGCCCCCAGTGGCACAGCGGTATGTCTGCGGACTTACAACGCTAGAAGCCGGGTTTCGATACCCGTGGTGGGCAGAGCACAGATAGCCCATTGTGTAGCTTTGTGCTTAACTTCAAACAAACAAACAGATTCTTTTTGTATGTGTTTTTCTTCTCTCTCTCTCTTCTTTTTTTTTTTCTTAATTTTGCGCAAAGCTACTCGTGGGCTATCTGCCTCTAGCCGTCCCTTAATTTGAACTGGTAGATTAGAAGAAAAGTATAACTAGTCAACATCACCCACCACTTGGTTACTTTTGTTTGACTGCTCTTATAAGTGACCCACGCCAACAAGTATAAGAATCTTGAATACCTTGAGGAGGAAAGCACAAACATTTTAAAGTTCACAACCCAAAGTATATTTTATGAGTTTATATTTTGTGTTTTTTTCTTGTGTTTTTGCAGTAATTTCCGAGTGAATATTATGGCTTGTGTTCAGTTTTATTCTCCAGGTGACGCACCATTATCATAATTACGTTAAGTTGTTCTGAATTTTTCTTAATACAAATTCAAGGTTTCGGGAGGTCATCTACATAGCAATATCATCCATCCGCCCAACATACCTGTCATTACCTTATTGTCTGTGTATGTTTCACCTATGACCCCACGAGATATAAATTATTTTCAAACCATTTTAAATTTATACCCCAAAACTATTATTATAACAAAGGAAAAAATTGTATGAGTTTATAGACAATAACAATCTCATAACCATAAATAATAATCAACCAACTCACACGCATACGAGTGGCTCACAAGGCATATTAGATATAGTCATAATTCCAACTTCTCTTATTTCACATT